CTGTAGTAAGAGATATATTGAGAATTGACGGATAACTCTTACACGAGCATAAATGAAACCTAAACTAAACAAGGGGAGATATTGAGTTGATAAGACTCGTGATATTGCACGTATTAATATATTGATTAGAGTCAACAATAATTCTATTTTTTGTAGTATACATTAGAAACTGTTGATTTAAAAGTAAAATCTTAATAAACGATTAGCTGAATAAAAGTGAAAATTATAAAGACATCTTACACTATGATGATAACTCTCTGATGTCGATAATTCATCTCGGCATTTTTCATTTCAGTTGAAGTGCGATTAATCTTACTGACAAACACGCAAAAATATCAAAAATATTGAGACAACGAAAGTTGAAAAAAAAATGTTTGCATTTATGTGTAAAAAAAGTCTGAAAATTCAATTTAATATTTGTGTGAGATATAAAAAATGAATTTTAGTACCTTAGTTTGTTGAGCACACAAAGGAGTAGAAGACATATATATATGATTCTAGCTCATTTAATTCTCATTCTTTTTAATTCTCCTCCATTATTAGATTATAAAAACAGCGAATCGTTTACCGCAAAACATAAAAGAAGAATTAGTAAAAATAACCAAAACAGAAGATGGATTACGACAATGAAAGATCGAATATAAAGAGGAAATCATACCTTTGTGGTCAGTCATTGAGGCATAATTTTGAGAAGAGATTTTGAAGGTCCTTTCAGGTGATAACAGCTCCTTTAAGTGAGCAATCGTTTGCGCAGTGCCGAGCACAAGGGMGAAACTATTCAATTCRCTGTTATGGCGAACATATGCAAATAACAATCTTTGATTCTGCGATCACCCTGTGTGAGCTGATAACAGCTTCCGAATCAGACTCTGGCAAATCTTTGATGTTTATTCAACAGTAAATGCGATGTGGTCTTGTAAATATTCAAGGAGTTCTCTATGATAACATACTTAATGTTGGGTCTTCAACCACACTGTGCAATATTGGGTTTGCTGGACTATTTTTTTTTTGTTATATACTCAATACATTTGTAGAGAGTATTTTTGTCGTCTTGTGTCGTTATAGGCTCAAAGAAGTCTACAGTCAAAACATCGTATTACAAATGAAAAGTTTAACGGCCATGCTGCTCTAGTTTTCAGATGTATTGTTTATAGAGTGTACTGAAAAAGACGCTTGTCACTGTCCAAATTTTCAGCCTTTCTTAAGTTTAACCTGTGTAGCATAAATAACAAAACATGTTCTTCAAATAAACGCGTTTTGACTAAGTCTGTTGGTAGTCTAACTGCACTGGGAAATGCCTCTGACATGCCGGGAAAATGGTGTTYAGACATACCGTCCGAGATAAGCAAWTTGAAATCAACACGAAAAGTTCGCTTAATATCTTAGCAGGAGCCTAATAGCTTGGCAAATCAGGTTTCAATTGATAATACATTAAAGCATAGCAGCCTGATGTTTGCCYARCCGTATTTTTCACCATGCTGTGGGCGTTTTTTGTATGTCTGCCTTTCAAATTAATAAAACACCCCCATCCTCACTTTCACCGCTTAAGAAATAGCTAGTTCAACTTACAATTTTTAACATGAATTACATAGTGATTCTCCGAATCTAAAAGAATATTGATGGGTTTTTTTGGTTTGAGTTATTTTTTATTGGACTTTTGAGTTCCTACGACACGGTTTCCCTTTAGGGACGGTCACGTTTCTTCTCTTTATCTTAGCAATTATTATCAGGAAGCGAGTTCAGAGGCTTGAAAGATATTCAAGAAAGCTGCAAATGATACAATACCTCACTCTCTGGTTGTCTTATACGCATGCGCAAAAGACAAAAGACGACAAAAAAAAAAAAATAAATAAAATAAATAAATAAATAAATAACCCAGAATATCAAAAGTAGGGTATTGATGTTTTCGGAAAAACTCTAGTCGATTAAGATGGGATATAAGTCATCAGCATCATTAGTCGCCGCAGACCGAGAGTAATGTGGGCCCTTGAGAAAGGGCATCATAATCTTATTCTTAGTTTGCAATTACGTAACAGCGGCTATCTTGCTTGAGCTTTAACAAATGATTTCTCATTAGTATGATTGCTCATCCAACCAACATGGCTGCCAGTCTTTTAGCTGACTGAAAACGAGCAATACTGTTGGCATTACGTACATATGGACTCGCTATTCGCACCAGTCCCTTACAGAGCGAGTATAAATAAGAGGGCAACAAAGGTCCAATGCGCATGTCACACCAGAAGCTGATAAGAATTGGCAGGGCTATAACCAGATCTCTAGCGTCAAACCTTTTCACTTCCTCGTCACATACTGTACGCCCGTGTCTGGCTGATTCCTCCCTATACCCTCCCATGGCTAGCTAGTCTTCCGGTTCCTATCCAGACGCGGTCGTCATGACTTCCACTCTTATTAGACGAGCGTGAAAGGGAATGGCGCGAATAATATACTAGCTATACTAGCCTCCTGCGCTGGCGTCTCTTTCAATAGAACGGGCTTCCTTTGTGCCTTCGGAGGATGCTATCGTTAACATTGCCGTGAGTTTCTGCAACACACGTCAACTGGTGATGTTTCATTTAAAACCTTTGTACAATTTATCCGAAAATTTTGTACAATTTTCATCCGAATGTTGCCTATATGTAAATAATAGCTAGGCACAACCTCAGTACCAGACTCTTTCCCCTAAACCTAGGCGCGTTGTATTATAGTTGCTAAAGTCAGAGTTAAAATGTTTTATCTTACTCCTTGTTATGAATGTGATTATCATCAATAAGTGATATGTTAACGTACTAAATTAATATTGCTGCTTTTTCGTCCACTTTTTAAAATACTCAGTTTGAAATTATTGTCGAAAGGCTCACCACATAAAGTTCGAGATGTAGTTGTAAATCAGTGCAAAATTGAGCTCATCAACTTGTTCCTCAAACATTTAACATTACAATTTTATTTTGAGATGAAAAACATTCATGACACTCTTCTGTTGTTTCTTCCTTGAGCGCAAACCATGAATTGCCATCGTTCATATTCCAACTAATTAATATCCACGCGTTAATTGATAGTACAGAATTTCTATACATGCTTTAATTAATTAGCTAACATACAAACTACATAAACGAAAACCTGACAAACATTTCAATGAAATCTCGGTAAAATGTTGTTCAGATTTTGTTGAGCGCGCGCTAGTTTTCATCAATTTTATGTCCAAAATGAGAATACTTTGTTTGTACGAAGCCACCTAAACTAACATCAATGACAATAACGTACAAATCTCAACATAAACTTTGTTATGCTTTTGTACACAAATTCTTTAGACGTCTGACAGTTTTAAGGTCAATATCAGTTGATATTTRATGTTGGGAAGTCACTTCAAAGAAATACGAAAACAAATGACGCCGTAATGAAGCCGTTTTGGCTTCTAATCTGTCAATTCGCGCCACTGTAGAACAATAGTCACAATATGTGGAAGYGAACAACAAAGTTTAGTGTCTGTGCCTAGATTATTTACGATGGAAAAAGGTGCAAGAGTAATATATGTTTGTGTAAGGATTCGCTCACTGTTCAAGATAAAACGGACTTGATATTGACTAGTTTATAAACACTATGAATAAAAAATGAAGAGAAAATACTGACCCAATAACAAGCATTTCAAAACTGTCGATTTCRGTAATATCCTTTTTCAGTTCAATGTTTCCTTTCCGAAACATTTCGCGTCGATTTTTTTTAATCTTTCAGGTTCTCTCAAAATTCTTTCTTTCTTCAAGTCCTAAATCCCATTCCGGTTCCTTCACTTTTCAGCCATCCTTCCTTCCTTCTCTCTTATAATTTCCATTTAACGGCTTGTATATGAAGAGTACTTCAAACTACACTTCACTTAATATTAAGTTCGTTTTTAGGAAGATAATGAATTCAGAGGGAATAAATTCGCAGTATTCTTTATTCTCTAGAAAGCCAGATTCGTATTGAAAGAAAATAATGCATTGTGTGCTTTTTTTCGGCATAAATACTGTCAAAATAGTAAATGTTAAAATGAAGACATGCTCTACTTCTATTGGTACACAAGCTTCAATATTACATTAGTCTCGAGTGTTTTTATACAGATTGAATTTTATTATTTTACATGTCATTGCTATCTAAGGATAATATTTAGAATTTTATAGATAGTAACCCTAGTCTTTATTCATCTATAGACATAGCATTATCTCGAGGACAAAAGCCGTTTTGATATGACCTTTTCTGACCTTGACAGGAATTGGAACAAATTATCTTTAAAACAAAGTAAATTGCCTGAAAAATGGGCGAATAAAGCTCCTTTCGACGGGAAAACAAAACGATGGTAAAGAGCTACAAAGCAATTTCACACACTCGGCCGAAAAGCGCGCGAAAAGATCAGAGAAACAAAGACAGGAGAAAGTCGCTTTGAAAATGTTCAAGATTCAAATCGCTTATTAAATTCCTCTCTTGAAATGAAGACATTACAATCCGGCTTAATAATCGCATCAAGCACTCGAAGACGAATGAAATCATTGATTTAGCTTAACAACTTTCTGGACAAATGGTTTATCTGATGAACTTATTCATTYAGCCMGGCTTMGACACACGAAATTACAGGTTTCGTACAACTGTTTTAAGTTTTTAAGCAATTTTGTATATCTACATCAATGACAGAATGATTCTCATGCGAAAATAAAGTCTTACCTTTGAATTAACTTGGTTTTAGTTCACATGAACGACGACAGACGATAAAATTATCAACTTTGAGCTACAAAACCTGACCGAACCATCGTCCAGTCGACACATGGCTACGTCACTGTCGCTATAGGAACACAGATGACGGAATTCACACATACATACTGTGTGAAACAAGCAAATAAAGGCAACGGTAATGAGAGGTTTATTTCATTGTTTTTGTTTGTCTTTTTGATTACATTTTGTGTGTGACAGTCAGAGTGTTATGGAGTGCTATGATAAGATGAAAAACACACAAAAACTTTAAAACYATTTGTAATTTATTAGATAAAAGCAAAATTATTGACATATTGATTAAATGTGTATYTACAAATTCATTTTAAATTCCTCGCCCTCTAGTTCCAGTCTACAGACAAGCAGATGCAACTGCGCGATAGCCTGCGTGATGACTAGAAAGACCTGTGTTAGAGACCCTTAATTGAATAAAAAAAATATCATTTTCTTTCCAGAATAATTTTTCCAGTATTTTCAAAATTTAAAAAGTCATACCGTGAAAATGGCTTGAAATTTGAAATATTGAGTTTGTTATGTAAAATCTCGATCCCAGAGCACCTCGGTCATGGTGAACGATAGAAGTGATCTGGGCACAAGAAAGAGTGTCAGATTGGTACGAACTGCTATCCTAACCTGGATTTTTGAAAGTCAAGTGTCATGAATAATAGTTGSCTTTATTTTCTTGGTCTTGAACTGAAAGACGATAAAATAATGTCAATATTATACTTAGAAGAGAGAGAATTAACAGATTAAACCTTGTTACCTTGACAACGGTGTRCGATTGACACCACCGCAAAGCAGCCTGGGTAAAATACACGTTTTCTTGGAAGGCAGCGGGGAAAGATAGTCAAACTAGAGAGGGAAATAATCACATTAATATAGTCCATAGATACACAGTGAATACACTAGTTAACGAGCTCTAACCTGATTTTCTTTCTCGTTGATAGTAACTTTCCTTTTCKTCGGAGGCTTCAAAACGCTCTCTTCATCGTCATCATTCTCACCATCGCTGTCTGAACAAGAGGGCGTGTCTTGCCTGTCAATCACTGAATGATTGACAGRATCTATTCGACCACTTGGAGTTTTGGGTTCGACGTCTTGCTCATCTTCGTCATCATCCTCATCAAATTCTTCATCATCGTAATCTTCATCGTCTTCGTATTCATYATCATCACTACGTTCCATTTTCTCATTGAATAAGCTTTCCGAATGGCTGATTACGCTGCCATTGTCTTCATTACCCAATGACGAAGCTTCTTCTAGCCAAGGTTGCTCGTCTTCTGCTTGGGATTTCTTCATTTSTTTTTTCTTCTTTAGTTCTTTTCGCAGTGGATATAAACTGTCTTTGATAAGCGCCGCAGGGCTCAGGCAATCAAACTCGAACGTCTTAAAAACAAAACAATCAAAAAACTATCAAAAATGGCGATATGGAATTTGAGAGAACCGCAGCTGTAGTTGGGATGCCTGTGCTTTTAAGGCTCATAGTCACTGGTCAAGTCAACGGAGATCCACGAATGAGGGGGGATCTATATATACCACGTATAAGGGCGGATCTAGGATTTTCCTCAGGGAGGGGTGCTACAAAATAAGTAAAGTATGCAAGGATACAGATCTCAGGGGGGGGGGGGGGGAACCCACCAGCTGGATCCGCCCCTGGAATAAGCAGGAGTCGAATGTAATGATCATTATACCTTTTTATCAGCACTTTTAGGCGTCATTATCCTACTTTTCAAAACCGCTCTTCGATTTAAAGGRGTTCTTCGAGGTTTTTCTCTCGCGCTTGGTCCACGACTGACTCGTTTGAGTGATGCTCTGCACGTTTTCAATGTTCTAAAAAGAGAAATAATTCATAAAGTTAACAAAGGAAATGGGAAAAATGAAGAAAAGAATGAAAAAAGAAATGTAGGAAAGTAGGAAGGGAAAAGATGAACGAATGAAATTGTGAGTGAGAAGACATGGCTAATGGCAAAACCATTCACAGACTGGGGTCCGATTTCGGAAACTGACGACGAGCACGTATTATCAAGCAAGAGTTTTTCTCTCTCAGTGTAAAATCAGACACACTGTTTACTTTTGAGTAAGAAAGGAACTCACCCAATAGCATCCTGAATAGCTTTGAACCACGAAACTGCTTCACATTTTGATTTCGAATACAAAAAGAGCGNATACCTTTTTATCAGCACTTTTAGGCGTCATTATCCTACTTTTCAAAACCGCTCTTCGATTTAAAGGGGTTCTTCGAGGTTTTTCTCTCGCGCTTGGTCCACGACTGACTCGTTTGAGTGATGCTCTGCACGTTTTCAATGTTCTAAAAAGAGAAATAATTCATAAAGTTAACAAAGGAAATGGGAAAAATGAAGAAAAGAATGAAAAAAGAAATGTAGGAAAGTAGGAAGGGAAAAGATGAACGAATGAAATTGTGAGTGAGAAGACATGGCTAATGGCAAAACCATTCACAGACTGGGGTCCGATTTCGGAAACTGACGACGAGCACGTATTATCAAGCAAGAGTTTTTCTCTCTCAGTGTAAAATCAGACACACTGTTTACTTTTGAGTAAGAAAGGAACTCACCCAATAGCATCCTGAATAGCTTTGAACCACGAAACTGCTTCACATTTTGATTTCGAATACAAAAAGAGCGTTTTGTCTGCACATGTAATCTAATAATAAAAACGTCACAAGGACGAATTCAGTATAACATTAATGACTACCTCTGACCTCTTTCCCAGGTCGTTTGCCATTTTGTAAAAAGGGAGCAGAGAAACCCTGGAAACGAGGCTGTTACACAGGGTATCAAAAATCAAAACTGTTTTGACACATGGAACCCAAGGCTTTTTTGGCGCAGCTTATTTACCTTGAACATCGATCCAGCATCCGCTGCTTCATCAGAACTTCCAAACATTTGCTCCAGTTGACAGTTTTTGAGAGGAAAGACTCGCTGAGAAGAGTATGTGCTGCAAATAATACATGTGTTGGATGGTCATAATAATGTTAGCGTTTTTACAATGGGGTTAGATTTATAAATAATATATTTCCTGCCAMAWTGAAGTTGGTACCTTTGGTCTTTTTCTGATCCACTTTTCTTGGCATAAATAAGAATATCAGAAAACAGGAAAAACATTCTTTCTTGCGACCCACGTCTACAAGCCTGCAACAAAACAAACCAAATTTCCTTAATYGTTCACAGACTGTTTTTGCTTCAGGATTCCTGTGCTACTTAAATACACAGGAAGCCCAAAAAAGAAACAATGTTAAGTGAAAATAGTGAATCTTCATTTCTTTGAAATTTATGCATATTATGATCTTAAGGTGACAGTAAAGTTTCCTGAATCTTGCTTCCCCTCCCCTACCCCACACAGGCTAATATTGTTACCTTTAACAGTGGTCCATCTTTAATRAAAAGTCGTCCTGCCAAAACAAGAATATCTCAGTGAGTACGTAGACCTTTCTGCTTAGATTCATTGTTCACAGTATGCAACAGAGGACTAAACTCATGGAAACGTACTATGGCTGTACTTAAAACCTCTATGACACAAACRAAACGATTGTCAAACCTGGAGCGAGGATCTTTGGTGCTCCTTCCCCAGTGAAACTCTTCTGGATTTGAAGCATTTTTTGAAAGTTTTCATGCTGTCTGATATTCTCATTGATGTGCTCAGCTACTTTTGCAATTTCCTCTGTAGCTTCTGTCATGAAAATAACATGAATGATATACAAAGTAAGATAATAGCTCGACCCTCAGTGTGGAGTAATTTTTAGTCTTTTCAATGATTGAATCCTTTTTGCTATCTTGAAAGGTAGACGTGTGTTTCTCCATTAAAATTAAAATTACTCTCAATGATAGTCTATACATTGCTGCAAGCTTGGGAATCTTTTATTGGTGCAAACTCATGGCTGCCCTTCAAGATGATGCAGGAAAAAGTAAAGGAGACTAATTTTAAAATCAACCAATGACATTTGTTCATTTCTATAGTCTGTACAAATTTGATCTTGTCTTTGTTTACCTTCTAATTTGCTAAAGTCAGGATAATCTCTTGGAGTTTTGTTGAGTAAACTTTCAAGAAGCATCTTGTACCTGCATTGAATTAAAACTCTTTCAATTAGTCACAAATATCCCAATATAAAGCCAAGAAATAGTTACACAACTTAACATCGTTGTTTTTAGCTTTTCATTACTTTTTTGTCTTGTCTTTTAGCTTTCATTTATTTGTCCCATTTTTGTTTTTGTAATTTGTGAAGTTGGGCCCACAGTAATTGGCTATGCTGTTGTGGTGTCCCAGTCTACTATTTGTAATTTTTGTGTAATTTGATTATTTATAATTTCTAGTGGACGAAGCTGAATAAATAAGTAAATAAATAAATAAATAACCATCACCCTTTCTTGTGGATTGTTCAAGGAGGACTGGGTTTGAGACTCACCGCGGGACTCTTTGAACTGGTGTAATCAGGAGTGACCTGAGGTTAAGACCTTTGCATTCTTCTTTGGCTTCTTGTCTTRTGATAAACTGAACAAACTCTGGAGACTTCCTCTCCCATTCCTAGAGTAGACAGTAGAATGATTAGGGAAACCATTAACCCGTTTATAATGCTGCATCTAATTGTAATCTATCCATGGTGTAGGATAATGGTATCACAAAAAAAGAAAAGTAATGAAAAAACCTATAAAAAAGCCACTTTTGTGCTGATAAAGATTACGATATGAAGACCACAAAACTAGTCTCAAATCTTCATGTTCTTACTTGCAGTATTCTGCTTGCATGTTCAAAGTTATTTGCRTAAGTACTATACAGTTTGATAAAGGGTGCCATYGCAAGGAAAGCATCRCCAACACCAAGGGTCTCCATATGACTTCTCAGTTCTTTATTKATGGCCTGTATTCCCTCAATRTTTGAGAAGATGCTRTTGATTGCTTCAKTGGGAAGTAGATCTGTCTTCCTTAACTCTTCCAAAAATACCTTAAATTTTAAAAATATATTACCTAAATATGGTTATCATAATACTAATTAAGAATAAAGATTAAGTATCCGACGTTTACTAATACTAGCTAATATTAGTTGTAAACTGGGCCTAAAATGCTATGAGTAAGAAGTTTGTTTTTGCAGCTCTGGGTTTTTGAAAAGATCTTAATAGTGAACTTGTCAGAGTATCAGTTGGACACAACATACTAAACTGTGTTCTTTATATCTAGATTGTATTTATATCAAGTATCTAGAGAGCAGTATTCTACAGTTTATTTTGAATCTTTTTCACTATTCGTTCGTTTTCATGAACACAGCAATTATCAAAAAGAAAGGATCAGACAAAGTATACTAATGGCAGTAACCTACATTAATAAGAGTATGGATCTGTTCTTGATATGTTGTTTCAGTTGTAAAAATCTCTGYGATGACCTTCTTTCTTTTGCGAGCCATGGTTTGAGTTTGAAGGATTCCACTCATYTCCTTCGAYAAGTTTGTTGTGGTGGACGAAACTTGGAGCGAGAGAAACTTCTTGGCTGATTTTACTAAAATTATTCAAAAATAACGATAAGAATGAAAGAGAAGAGGCAAGTAAAGTCGCAAAAGAATGTTTAAAAGTGATCAAAGATTCTATTGATAATTCTATGCTTACATTTCCCGTTTTTCGATTTCGAAGTACCAACTCCTGTGTATCTCATGGACGCCATGTTGATGGAACGTTTGATCAAACCGATCTCCGGTAAGTCTACTTTCAACACAAACAAATGCGAGATTTGAGAAGTGAAAATTAAAGCATATTAATACGAAGATATTGAAAATAAAAACTTTTTTAGACAAAAATACCTTTAGATTTAAGAAAAGAAACAGTAGTTTTGTTGTTTTGGCGATCGTTGATTTTCAAAATTACCACGCTCAAATGGAAAACCGCTGACCAAGTGTACTCGACACCAGTCCTTTCCATATTTATGACTAGACGCTCTTGGAGCGTGAAGTCGGACTAGCTGCTTGTGAAAATTGAGAAAGACAGGATATTACATGGATAAAAATATCTCTTAACTTTTTTTTCCAAAACAGCCGAACTCACGGTCTAATAAGAGCGTCTAGTTCAAACTCGACCTAAAAGGTCATGTAATTAACAAACG